GGAAGCTACCAGGCAGCAGGCAATAATTCAGCCGAGGGTGCAGTCGCAAAGACACGAGGAAAGGACGCTCAAGACGGTGTTGAATTAAGCTTTCGGGACTAAAACCATCTTGAGAGGCCCCTTTTTATCGGCTGCACCAGGAATCTCGAATCCGCCAAGTCGTCCCGCGGTGACACAACGCTGCCGCTGCGATATCTCCTTTTCGGAGCGCGCCCGACGAGCAATGGAAATGTCTTCAGCGGAACTCGATCTGGGATCTAGAAGTTGAGATTCCGGCCCAACTGCCTGGTCATCACGCCACTCCTCGGAAGAATCAAACATCTGACATTACGGATTACACACAGTTATATCCAAGTTCGATCCGCACAGTGAGCGGGCTGGGGCGTGTCTCGATGTTCCCCCGGGGCAGGCAATTCAGTTGGCGTCCAATGGATAAGCTTGTTGACCAGGACCGCTGCAGAGGACGAAGCCACCGCGGAAGCCCCTCCGCGGTGGCTCTCCGGCGATGTCAAACTTAGCAGTCGCTGTGCAAGTTGCTGTCCTGTCTTTGGTTGTGTGCTGGCGATGGGATGGAGCCATGTATTGGCAGCCGAGTGTCACGGTGCCTCCCCTCGCATTCGGTGTGCCGGCTTCTGCACTAGCAATCTATCGAACCCATCTAACCGCGTCACGGCTCACGGCTGCAACAGCAGTTCTAGAACAAGGACGGGAAGTAGTGGGCCCACGAGATGACCCATCTACTGTGTAGTCCGAGGCAACAATCGCAATTCATCGGAGGCAGGCTCGCAGGCTACCTACCTCAGGACCAAGGCTCACCACTTTCTTGTCCCGGCCACTGACAGCAAGAGGCAGGACGCGCAAGTGCGAGGAGCGCGTCAACGCCGATGGGCACTGCTGTGACGCTGATGAATGGATGTGGGGCAAACCACCACTTCACGCTGGACGGCCAGGGGAGAGTGACCTCTGTGTACCCGCCGTTACACACTGCTGGCCCAAGACACCCCCTCCCGTCTCTTCCAGCCAGCCCCGCTGTTGCTGGCCGGAATGTCCCATCCGTGCAGCACTCGCCTGCTGGCTCTTAGGGGGCCTCGAGATGCTATTGCTTCAGTTGGGTTTTCTTTTCCCTGTTGATCCACACAAGGTGGATGGCGAGTTCGCTCTCTGTCCCAGCGATTCCCAATCCAAGGACACATGTCTCCTCGTTCTCTCCTCATTCTCTGCCGCTAGGCGCACTCCTGGGGAATCAACTCTACTCAGACGGATCATCATGGCCCGCACCTTACGCAGCCACCCGTCTTACTCTCCGTCACAGTGGTAGTATGACCCTCCCGAGAATCCCCCCAGAACGCGGCAAGCTTGAGAAGATCCAGTCGTGTCAGCCTTCAATCGTGACAAGTGTCTTTACTCCGCAACACTCCCAGCAGCAGCAGCAGTCCTAGCGTACCTTGGTAATTAGAAAAGAAATACGAATGTTTTCGAGCAGGGGAGTTTCCGTGCTAGACCCAGCCGAGATGGATTCACTGACCAGGGCATCGAAACCGGGGAAGGAAAAATGAAAACCAGAGACGAACGCAGGAGTGAAAAAGGAAGCACACAGTTCATGCTCGCAGACGCCCTGAAAATGTGCGCTGTCTGCCCGCCCGGTGCCGTCAGAGGGTGCCCGCCTTCCATCGCGACCAACCACTCACTGGCTCCATGTCTTCGTCTGCCCGGCTGCTTGATTGCCGGTTGGACGGAAACCCTTCGCGCTGGTAGCCATTCACGTCCAGCAGATGGACGCGCGTGGGGTGAGATGATTATCTTGCAACCTCTGGCCGGGTTGGTCGAGTGAGAAAACAGTATCGATGCTCATTGTTTTTGCTGTCTGCAGCCGACGGGCCATTCTCAGCAGATGCATACCACGCTGAGACCCCAATGGAAGGGAAGGGAAGTCCTCCAGGCTGTCAGCTAGGTACCTAGCTGCTCGCTGTAGACCACTAGAATCAGAGAAATAAATATTCACCGCTCATCTGCGATGAGGCCGGAAGTGAAACGGTCTGGTCAATCATCGCAAGGCAGATTCAAATCGCCGTTTCAGTTTCCTTTTCAATCTATCTATTATTTCCAATCAAAGTCGCGATTCTCTCGAGCCTCGTCCATTTCATCTCGCTCGACACCGGAGGGGCTCCGATCGCCCTCCCCCTTGTCATGTACGGTAATCAGTGCTGAGAGCCTGGCCTGGCCTGGGGAGGGGGGGTTACACGACATCGCTGCTCTCCAGGGCGGTCGACTGGGTGCCAGTGGATTTCAGCCCTATCTCGCCCCTATCTCCGACCCTCCGACCGCCGACTTGCTGGTGTGGTGTGGTGTGGCGGCCGCGACAATCGATTGGGCATCTTGACCGAAACTGAAGACCTATCAGAGCGCGTTTGGAGTGGCTCATCTGCCGAGATGGAATCTTTTTTGTCGCAAGAGTCGATGACGGAAGCAAGGCTTTGAAGTTGGAGGGAGGGAACTGTCGTTTTCATTCAGTTTCATTTTGACCTTGACGCCGTACGCGGCGGACCGCGGTGCCCCACTGAACCCATCCATTCACCAGGCGCCCTCTTACTCCAAGTCAGTTGCTGAGCCTCAAAAATCTATCTGCCGTTTTGAGAAGGTTGCAGCTCGGCTCTGTCGGTCAATATGCGATATGTAGGCTTGCTTCACTTGGGCAAGAGGTGATGACAGAGCGGTGTGTCTAGCGCGGCACGGCGCGATTATGGTTGGTTTGTATGTGTCCAGATGGGTGACCGCGTACCTTGGTTTGTTGGATATGTACCGAAAGTCACGTTTGCTTTGTTCAGGTAGTTCGAGGTCGAGCCAAGAATGATTCGGGTGGCTAGAGATGTGCTTACTACGCCTCCTGAGTATCAATGTCTTTCCCTACCCGAGATGTTGAAGGCCTGCTGTATATTCTCGCCTGCCATCGGTGACGTAGTCAGGCGTGAGTCAGACAGGCTAGGGATCCGCAGGGTGTGTGCTGCTCTCCTTTTCCGGTGATGCATGAAGTGACTTGCGCTCTTTCTCTTCGTGGGTTGATCCCGCTAGTGTAGTTAGATCTGAGAAAACTGTGTTTGCTATGCAGGTAGAGTTAGTTGCTCCGGCTGACGCCGGCACGATATCCGGGCCTCAGCGCCCTTGCCGCAGCATCCTCAATTCTGCTTGGAGAGGGTGGTAGGTTCCGGGATCCAGGATTCTGAAGAAAACCATGGCGGTGGACGGCGTCGTGGAGTTTTGCTGGATTTTGACTGGCACGGGGAGACTGGAGTTCTATCCGGCAGGACGGGCCCGGACTAGTCTGGGCTGGAGGTGACAACCGCGCAGACCGAGAATAATGAATAATTCGTACCGTTCATGGGGTTCAGATCCCGTTCCGGGTTTCGGCCCAACCCCGCCCTCGGTGTTTGGGGGTGCAGCACCCAACCCGCGATATTCAGGGGGGGCATACTGCAATTGGAACCAGCGCACTTATGTGTTGAAGAGGACCGATGGGCTGGGCGCAGCGTCCGCGAAGCTAGATATCAAACTGAAGGTTAAGATTGAGCTTCGTGCTCTGCCTGTCGCAAAGTGTGCATGCGTCATCCCTGTGAGAATGGCTCAGAACTGCTGAGAGCGTTGAGACGGCTACAAAAGTCCAGAATTGATCCAACAAGCTCGGGGCGTGTCTGGAAGGCCACAATCGGAAGCGATTACTGAACTGACTGCCTACAGAATTAATTAGCTTTGTGGAAATGCGGGAGCAAAGTAGGAAAGAGGGAAAACGCACTGGTGTCGGTTGTTGGCTCGCCCCTGTAAGAATTTGCTCAGAGTCGTCATCTCTGGTACTGCGACCAGACAGCTCCCCTGCTCCTACTATGATGTTTGGGGGCAAAACATAGATTTTGGAAGGCGATGACGCGCAGCATCTCTGGGAATTTGCGATGAGGATGCTGTGCGACGTCGTTGGTGTTACCCTCGAACCAAAAGTTTGGTTCGTGGGATTCGGCTTGGCGATCCTACGAAGATATTCCCGCAGCTAGTACCGTTTGAGATTCTCGTGGGTTAAATACATCTTTGGCGGTCTCGAGAACAAATGGTACATAGGATTGTTGATTGTACCGACAATGTCTGTGGGGATGTCGTTGGCGATCTGTTTTGGGAGTGGGGAAGGATGGGTCGATGAGATGGAGACTGTTCCGAAGCGGAAGACCTATTCCTGATTTCAGGGTGAGGAATCGCCCCGAGATGGTTCAAGGACGGTTGAGGGATTTAATTGTGTGGAATTCCCCATTGTCTTTTGTCGTTGATCCGACTCCTCTGTGTCTTCGTATGGAGCAAAATCACGACTCCCTGTTGTATGGATAGGCGACCGTAGTCGGGCGTCATGCGATGACGGAAACCCACGGAGATGAGGTGTTCAAAGCCGGTACTTGTGGTCTGGTTTCTACATACCAAAGAAAACATGAGCGAAAGCTTAGACACAAAGGGAGGCGCCGAGGGAAGTGCAATGTGTTGCTCTTGACAACGATTGTAAATATTGACAGCAGATACTGGTTGGGGAATTTCGTCTGTTGTTGCTGGTTGTTGGAAGTTTCCACGCAAACATGGCGATGATGGGGGACCAAAGTCGACTGAAGACGGCGGACGTTGTCGAGCCTAGGATTCGACGTCTGCGTGGGGTTTGTGTTGTCGGCGAGGCGCCATTCAGCGAGGGAGTCATTGCTGTAGATGCCAAATGTTGGCCGTGTCCCCAGCGGATCCTCGCAATTGAGACAATGGCAGTTCTCGGGAGTTTGGAGCGAAACTGAAGCCAGACGTTAGCTCTCAAAGATTTGAGTCACGAGTAGCCTGGCCCCGTCACACGGCGTGACATGAACATGCCACAGCAAGAGCACCCTCCTCGCGCCTTCCACGCCGGCTCTACTACCACCAACCAGAGCGACCGCTCTCCATCAACGGAAATCACATAATCCCTTCCATTAAACAATCGACGGATCTCATCTTCCGTAGTACAGTGGTTAGTGTGGGGGCTTGTCAGCAATCTTGCAACCCGCCCTTGACCTGGGTTCGAATCCCGGGTGGGAGATTTTGTTTACTTTTTGCCCCTTTATGTTGTTTTCCGTTGCTTCGTTTGCTGCAGGGAGACGGTGGAAGCAATTTCCTCCTGCCCAAGGCGAGCGTGTTTGATGTTACTCATCCGGGCAACAGTGGACCGACCCGCTCAACCGGCATTGTTGGCTTCGATGGATATGTCGGTCAATGGACAGACTCCAAACAGTCATTCAAAGGATGAGGAGACGTCACGGTGTCTAGGATATCTCAATATGGAGTAGCGATTGAGAATCTGCTACTTGGCCTTGGCAGCACCTCAGCAGCTCCATGGTTGTAGGTAAGTCCGGAGTTGGGGATAAGCGTGGGAATTGGCCGCAGCCCCCATAGTAAAGTACCCCCCTACGCAACACAATCCAGGATCAAAACGACTCTCATGGAGATCACTAGTATGACATAGCGCTAGACGTGGAAACAAGACACAATACAGTTCAGCTGTCTCACTAGCTCCAACTAGCAGGGGTTGTACACTTGTGGCTTCATCCTTCAAGCCAACGGCTCCATCACTTGGAATATATACCTTATATCTACCGAGCTTTGCCTTTTAGATGCAGTCCACACCTAACCGCAGCCCTTTTGTCTACCCTCCATTACAGTGTTGACAATATAATACAAGCCTTCAATGTTGAAATTTTGAATCCCCCTTTTCACATCTTTCTCAATACCTCCAAATCGCATCCGCCATCGACACCACCTGCGCCATCTCCTTGACATCATGCACCCTCACCACATCTGCTCCCCCCTGCACAGCCGCCGCAACCGTCGCCGCCGTCCCCCAGATCCTCTCCTTGGGCGTCGGCACCCCCGTGACCTGCCCAATGAAGCTCTTCCTGCTCGAGCCCACCAGCCACGGCAGCCCCTGCAGCCCCGGCCAGTTCCTCAGCTCGTCTAGGTGCCTCAGCACATCCACATTCTGCATCCCGATCTTGGCAAAGCCAAGCCCCGGATCCAAGACGATTCGCCAGCGTCGAATGCCGGCTGCTTCCGCGGCTTCCACACGCGAGACCAGCTCGCGGGCGATACCGCCAATGAGACCGCCTTCGGAGGGGGGATACTCCACCAGCGAGGACATGGTGGCGGGCGTTCCGCGCATGTGCATGAGGCAGATGGTCGTCCCCAGCCGGGCCACGGTGGGAAGCATGTCGGGATCCATGGATCCGCCGGAGACGTCGTTGACGATGTCCGCGCCGGCGGCGACGGCGGCTTCGGCGACGCGGGCGCGGTAGGTGTCGACGCTGATGAGGGCGGGCTGCTCGGTGAAGGTCGAGCGGATGTGCTCGATGGCGGGGATGACGCGGGAGAGCTCCTCGTCGACGGAGACTTCGGGGGCGCGCGGGGCGGTGGATTGGCCGCCGATGTCGATCATGGTGGCGCCGTCGAGGAGGAGGACTTGCACCTTGGTGATCAGATCGGGGAGGTCGAGGGCGGGCAGCTGGCCGCCGTCGGAGAAGGAGTCGGGGGTCATGTTGAGGATGGCCATGACGTGGGTTTTGCGGTCCGGCTTGAGGGCTTGGATGGGCGGGTGGCGTGCCGAGAGGGGCGTCATGGTGGTGAGGGGGGATCCGAAGGGGGCAGCTTGTCGAGGAGGTCGCGGGTCGAGGTCCAGGGACGGGTGTGGTCGATTGGCTTGTCGGGTATGAGCTCGGCAAGGGGGCGGAGGACAAACTCCCGCTCGAGGATGCCAATGTGAGGGACCTTGAGGCGCTCATGGTCGATCTTGAGATTCTCATACAGAAGAATGTCGAGATCGATGTTCCGGGGCCCCTTGTCAATGACCTTCTTGCGGCCTAGGGAGTTCTCGATGTCCTGAAGCGCATCAAGCAGTGCTAGGGGCTCCAGGGTTGTCTCGACCTGGCGTGCAGGTTAGTCTTGGGCCCTTCTGCTTGGCACACACATAATGACAGAGAAACAGGACGCACCTCGCAGGCTCCATTGACAAATCTATCCTGGTCTAGTACGTACATGGGCTCCGTCTCCCACAGCGAGCTCGTGCGCTTGACTTTGATGCCTCTTGCGTCCATTTCGTTGCACGCCTTCTCAATCCAGGCAATCCTGTCGCCCAAGTTGCTCCCCATCGCGATGTAGGCCGTCCGCTTGGCCGGCAGCCTTGAGGTGTCTGTGCCGTCCATTTTCTTCTTTTTTTGCGGCGGCAGTGAATATCTTTTGAAACTGAGGGAATCGGCTGCTGCACGTCGCGTCGTCGATTGCGAAAATTGCCTCTGCGTTGTCCTGCTCAAGGGCAGGTGGATGCAGACCGCTCGGGCATGTCTAGAAACCTGATATACCGGGATGTGGCGGTTCAATGGCTTGAGCGAGACCGTTGCAAAGTGCCTCATTTTCAGCGTTTTGCCGCGTCGTCAAGATAAGATGTGACCGCGATCATATCGCAAGCTGAGTGGATCAATTGAGGTCGACATCGGATGGCACCAGGAAGTCACGAATAAGGGTTAGGGTTGGAAGACTTCAGCCGTCACAGCTGCCCTGGAACTGGCTGACGTTATCCGCTGATAGCCGCCGCTGTACCACAGGCTGTTTTGTACTAAAACATGGGATAAGCTTCCAGGTTAGACCTGAGCCCGCCGTTGTGCGGATTATCAGGAGGCCTGAGGGAAGGGCAAACGCCTGCATCCGCCACAGACGTTTGAGGGGAAAGAGCTCATAAAACCTATAAAGGTGGCAAACGGAACTGAGATCGGTTCAGATGAATTGCCCTCGGTATCTCCCCCGAGATGGACCTCGAGTTTGGTGCCTCGGCTCTTCTGTCCCATGACAGTGCTGCCCCTCCATCCAAGAGGGCGGCCCGGTGCCCCAACACAGCTTAGCGCCGAAAGCGAGTCGACAAACCTCGGCACATGCACCCCAGGAATGCGGTTCAAGATGCGGGTGCTTCCCCGGATGTCTAGATAACCTTCCCCAGTTCCTCTTCTATTCCAGCCACCATATACCAGCTACGACACACCGTAATCGAACTGCCTGCCACAGCGTTTCGTCAACCGTAATCATGGCCTCCTCACGTAAGTGCCCATTCTGCGCAACGGTCAATTGCGCGCGCCACATTGCTTTTCCTGACCCCTCGCGACATGCCGTCACCTCGCAACATGCCGTCACCTCGCAACGCTTACATCTGACAATGGCTTCGCACAGAGAAAATCCGCACCCCGATCACCGATCTGTTCGGCATTAAGGCGCCCATCCTGCTGGCAGGTATGAACGTCGCCGCTGGGCCCAAGCTGGCGGCGGCTGTGACCAACGCTGGCGGCCTGGGTGTCCTCGGTGGCATCAGCTACACCCCAGAGATGCTCAAAGATCAGATTGGCGAGCTCAAGTCGCACCTCATCGACAAGAACGCCCCCTTCGGCGTGGACCTTCTCCTCCCCCAGGTTGGCGGCAACGCCAGGAAAACGAAGTACGCACCTCCCCGCAACCCCCATCCATTCCCTAAAAACACCCACTGACTGGCTTTCCTCTCCCCGCAGCTACGATTACACCAAGGGCAAGCTGAACGAGCTCATCGATGTCATCATCCAGTCCGGCGCTAAGCTCTTCGTCTCGGCCGTCGGCGTCCCCCCCAAGGCCGTCGTTGACAAGCTCCACAAGCACGGCATCATCTACATGAACATGATCGGGCACCCCAAGCACGTCAAGAAGTGCCTCGACCTCGGCGTCGACATCATCTGCGCGCAGGGCGGCGAGGGCGGCGGCCATACGGGCGATACCCCCACGACCGTGCTTATCCCCGCCGTCGTCGACCTCGTCCGCGGCTACAAGTCCCCCCTCACCGGCAAGCCCGTCGAGGTCATCGCCGCCGGCGGCATCCATAACGGCCAGCTGCTCGCCGCGGCGCTCATGATGGGCGCCAACGCCGTGTGGGTCGGCACGCGCTTCGTCCTCTCGGAGGAGGCCGGCGCGCCCGAGGCGCACAAGGAGGCGGTCCGCACGTCGGGCCACGACGACAACATCCGCACCATCATCTTCACGGGCCGCCCCATGCGCGTCAAGAAGAACCCCTACATTGTCAACTGGGAGGAGGAGCGCCAGGCCGAGATGAAGGAGCTCGCGTCCAAGGGCAAGATTCCCTACGAGGCCGACCTCGACAAGGTGCTCGCGGGCGAGGCGGAGAACTCCCCTGGCATCAAAGGGTCGGGTCTCCTGAACGCCACGAGCGATGATGATGGTGATATCGAGGACAAGCTCGATGAGTTCCGCCCGTACCTGATGGGCAAGTGCGCGGCGGTGTGCAACGAGAAGAAATCGGCCAAGGCGATTGTGGATGAGTTTGTCAATGATGCTGTCAAGTGGATGCAGAATGGCAACTCGTATATTGTGTCGACGGCGAAGTTGTAGATGGGGAGAGATACCTAGAGCGGGTGGATATCCATGCTTGTACATATATAGCGTGTTATGTGGTCATGTAAAGAAGGAATGAGTTACATTTTTGGATGTGTTCCGGGGCTGCTTGGTGTTTGTGATTTGTTCCAACTGCCAGATTTGTGATTTATCTCATTGTCGATATCTGTCTTGGTGTTTCATGCGGTGCCTGATTGGGTTTCTTCGTCATTGGCGGCAGAAACAAAGAATATCTGCCGCATTTCTCAGGCGATCACGGCAGGGGCTTCACTGCCGCGGCTTGGGAAGGAAAACCGGGAAAGCTGCAATGTGACGACGACAGTGCTGGGCGCTTGCTGCCACTATTCCTTTCAGAGCATTTCCCCAACCCCCGCTCTTGGCTTCGACGCCACTTCTCACGACGACCTCTCATCTGAGGTGTATTGTGAGTCTCTCTCATTCAACATAGCATTGTTCATAATTCTTTCTGTACCGGAACAAATTGCCGAGTTGAGATAGAGTGAAGCAATCATGCCTCGACTACCAGAAGACGGCGAGGGGTATGAATCCGACGACTCGGAGAACCTGCTCGAGACGGGCGCCCGCAAGGCTAAGCACCTGTGGTCTGGCTTCCTCGATTTCGCCATGCAGG